GCCCTCCTCCAGGGGATCTTCCTGACCCAGGGATCAAACCTGCATCTCTTACATTTGCCACTAACACCACCTGGGAAGCCCTACATATACATATGTGTGTATAAGCTTTATTTTGGGGGGTGGTACTGCGCTAGGCAGTCTACTCTTTATTTCTGTTAACTTGTGAAACAGCTGAATTTTACCATTGCATAATTTTGTAAGAAAGGCTCTTATTTTCCCCATTGTAATCAGCTTGCCTTTTCTACCTGCATGCCTGAGAAATTATCTCTTTATTGTTGAAGTTCAGTAGTGCAAGCTGTATCTCAGTGCTGCTCATTCTTGTCAGTATTCCTGGACTATAACTGCTGTTTTGATTTACATATATATCACTTATGTGTGTGTGCCTGCGTTCAGTGGTATCCAACTCTTTGGCGACCCCATGGACTATAGCTTGCCAGGCTCCTCTGTCCCTGGGATTCTCCAGGCAAGCATACTGGAGTGGGTTGCCATTTCCTTCTCCAGAGGAGCTTCCCGACCCAGGGATCGAATCCTGGTCTCCTGCATCGCAGGCAGTCTTTACCGTTGGAGCTGCAGGGGAGTCAGAGAGAAACTGAGGCCTCCTGTTTAGGTCATTTCTTGTGCATTTGTGTGTTTTACTGAATTTGATGTGTTTGTGTTCATCGTCCCATGATTTCCACACTAATTATTTTAATTTACGGTAATGGCCACCCACTCCAGTATTCTTGCCTGGAGTGATCCCATGGGCAGAGGAGCCTGGCAGGCCACAGCCCATGGGGTCGCAAAGAGTCAGACACGACCTAGTGACTAACCCACCACTACCACCACCTTCATTTTACACCAAAATGAAGGTAACGGTGTCTTTTTACAAAGCATCCAAGAACGATCAGCTGCTGTTGTTAGTGTTTCATTTTCGTTTTACCATCGGCCACAAGAAAGTTGATCTTAGCATGTTGCGCAGGTGGGGTAATGAAACGCAAGTTTAGTTTTGAACTAAAGGTGGGGAGGTAGGAGAGATTTATAAGAATTAATTCATATTCTGTAGAGTATTAATTAAAACATGCAATATTTCCCCCTTCATCCAGTGCATCCAACAGCATTTTTCCCTGAGCGCACGCACCGCTTTTCCGAGCCCTTCTTTGGATGTATTGGGCTCCCCTGGTGGATCAGATGGTAAAGAATCCGCCTGCCTTGCAGGAGACTTGGGTTCGCTCTCTGGGTGGGGAAGATCCCCTGGAGAAGGGAATGGCAACCCACTGCAGTGTTCTTGCCTGGAGGATTCCATGGACAGAGGAGCCTGGCTACAGTCTACTGGGTTGCAGAGTTGGACTTGACTGAGTGACGACCATCCGCAGGTTTGCAAAGAGTTGGACACGACTGAGCGACTAACACTGATGTGTTTTCTTACTCCGACTTAATTTTCTCTCACCTGTAAGCATTTTTGTCCTTATGCCGCTGAACTTGTCAATTCTAAGTGAGGATGAAAGACGTAGGGAGAGACCTCTTGTACAGATGCCAAATGTTCTCTCATTTGCATTCAGACCAATAATATTTTTCAACCTAATCCCAGAAGATTATCCAAGATAACTGACAGAGAATGTCAACATTTGCCTTCCGTGCATGTGAACAGTGGAACTGTTAAGTAGAATGCCTCTGAAAGATTACTAAATCCACGGATTTGTAAGATGGTCTTCATGTAAGTTCAGAGTGCAGATGGTTCTTTATAAGTTCCAAGGGGGCCCAGTTCCCTCCTTAGAGGTCTCAGGCCCGGGCCTCGTAGGGGGGCATGTTAGAGACTGGTGGGTGGTCATATCATTGGAGAAGCAGAGCCAACTCTTGCTCTGACCTCTATAGCATTTGGGTCAGAATAACAGAAGAATCTGGAAATGTTAAACAGGAAATGTGTAGCGGTGGAGAAAGAAAAGAGACGTCCATGGGTCCAGCCCTGTTGAGTAGCTGATGTGACCTACTCTGCACGGCATTACCTGGTTGTCTGTATGCACAATCTCACGTAATCCTCAGCATCTCGTCTGCCACGTGACAAGCTCAGGGATCAGTCTAGAAAGCTCCAGCGCAGACAGGAACTTTCCCAACTTCTTTCTGTGGACCTCAAAATAATCACCCTCCCGCAAAATCGCGTTTTTGAAACCCTCACGAAAAGGAGATGTATGTAATTGTACGGAACAACCCTTACATCAACTGGAAGATCCAAATTATTGTACAAATTATGATCATTTTGAGAAGGGAATGGCAACCCACTCCTGTATCCCTGCCTGGAGAATCCCATAGACAGAGGAGCTTTGGCCGGCTACAGTCCATGTGGTTTTAAAGAGTCAGACACGACTGAGTGACTAGCACACACAGACAAATCAAAGAGAATTAAATAAAGTGATTGAGAAGACCATAAAGTTGAATTTAGATTACACACTATAAACGTTGCTTTCATATTTTATTTTAAAAAAAGGAATGTTGTTAAGGGTTTCTCACGGTGACTACACACGGAAGCAATTGATGGAACAATAGTTCACATCCTAACTGTGGCGACTTAACTCACTAATCAGCAAATAGTCCTGCCGTCCCCCTCTGTCAGGGTTTCCATAGTGGCTCAAGTGGTAAAGAACCCGCCTGCCGATGCAGAAGATGTGAGAGATGCAGGTTCAATCCCTGGGTTGGGAAGATCCCCTTGGAGATGGGCATGGCAACCTACCCCAGGATTCTTGCCTGGAGAATCCCCAGGGACAGAGGAGCCTGATGGGCTTACAGTCCATGGGGAAGGACATGACAACCCGCTCCAGTGTTCTTGCCTGGAGAATCCCATGGACAGAGGAGCCTGGCGGGCTACAGTCCATGGGGTCGCAAAGAGTTGCTCGGGACTGAGCAACTAACACGTTCATTTTATGATCATTCTGCTTTTGCCCTCAGTGGGAGCAAATGTTCCAGATCTGTCTCCGCCACTGTGTTTGGTTTTAACTTTGACCTGTTAGCTCGGCGAGGAAACTAGCAACAGGAGGAGACAGCATCTCTGTTCTTCTCTCTCGGTTCCAGGGCACGGTGGTTGGCACATGGGTGATTAGAGTCACATGGACAGAGAGCTCTTTCTTTGTTTTCTGATTCCAACTTACACCTCGTTTTCATATGTGAAGAAGTTTGCACTGAGTTGATTTGATTACACCATGATGCACACTTAAGTCCCTGTGATTGCTAACTTAGCCAGCAGTAAACACTTGCCAGATTGAATAAAACCATTTCTACTTGCAAAGCCTAGCCTGTGTTGCAGGGGCCAGCGATTTGGGTAACTTTAGTGCTTGCTTTCAGCGCATGCAACGTATACATTTTATTGAAAAGAGGAAAGTTGGCCGACACTCTGCAATTGTTCCCAATCCTTTTGCATGCTTCCTTGATTCCTTACATTTGGACTGGAATTTAGAACTTTTTCAAAATCCAATGAAGTAAAACAGATCTCGCAAGTAAGAGAACAGTGAACTGTGAAATTGAATGAGAGAGAAAAGCTTTAAGAACTGATAATGCTTTAAATGTTTTATAAAGTAGTTCTTTTTTTAATTTAGCTACAGATTCGTGTTACTTCAATATTGAAAGCGTGGCCTTTTTTCTATCTTACCTGGATAGTTCTTGAGTCGAGATGCGATTTTAATCAGTCAGTTCTTATCATTTTCAAATTTATACATGATTGTTGTTGCTGTTCAGTCACTAAGTCGTGTCTGACTCTTTATATGTAATTATTAACAATCAATTTTATTGACGCCTACAATTCGAATTCAAACCTTGGGACTGGACGTTTTCTAGCTATTCCTCCCAGTTTTCAACTTTTTGTATTAAAGAGTGTGAAATTTTCCCCTGGCATTTGTCAGAGTACTGATGACATGTACATAAAATTTGTACTTTCAATTTACAGTGTCAGAACTCAGAATGTATTTACAATAATCTGTGGATGTGTGTGTCATTGATGTGTAGATGTTGTGTGTAATATCAAATTGCAATTCATGGGTCATACTTCTTTAGGAAATTAGCACATCATTTCTTTGAGGTTTCCCTGGTGGCTAATACAGTGAAGAATCTGTCTGCAGTGCAGCATACCTGGGTTCGATCCCTGGGTTGGGAAGATCTCCTGGAGAAGGGAATGGCAACCCACTCCAGTATTCTTGCCTGGAGAATTCCATGGACAGAGGAGCCTGGTGGACTGCAGTCCGTGGGGTTGCAAAGAGTCAGATGTGACTGAGAGGGAAAGAAAACAAGTACATTTATTTTGTAAACAATTCAAGGGAAACATCTGATGGAGCAAGATTTTTTTTTTTCCTTCCCCAGCCACAGACACAAATAGACACATCCCTCCTCTTTTTCCATTTTGACCTTATTGATGATGAAATTTACACTCCACTCTTTCCAGAAAGGAGTTGAGATAGCTTTTTAAACTCTAAAATGTACTTTGTATATGAAAATAGGAGTTTACACAAAAGATACTATTTCTTCCCCCCTGGTGACCATAAGGTTATTACAGGGTATTGAGCAGAGTTCCCTGTGCTGTCCAGCAGGTCCTTGCTGGTTCTCCACGTTAAATACAGCCGTGTGTCCATGTCCATCCCAGACTCCCCAACTACGCCTTCCCCCATCCTTTTGCCAACCTAGCAAGCATAAGTTTATGTCTAAGTCTCTGCATCTATTTCTGTTTTGTACATAAGTTCATTTGTATCATTTCTCTTTAGATCCTTCACATAAGGGGTGTCCTACAATGCTTCTGCTTCTCTGCCTGGCTCTCTTCACCCAGTGTGACAATCTGCAGGTCCCTCCGTGTTGGTGCAGATGACATGACTTCATTCTTTTTAACGGCAGTGTAATACTCCATCCTATATAGGTACCACATCCGCTTTATCTACCCCTCTGTTGAAGGACACTGCAGTTGCTCCAGAATTTTGACCTGCGTCTCCGGTGTCGTGGACATCAGACCCCGTGAGTCTCACTTAAGGCTTTCTCCCGTTCCCTCGCAGTCTCTGTTCCCCAAGAAGAACTACGAGTGCGTGACCAGCTGTGAGTTCCTCCAGTACATCCTGTCGGTGAAGCAGGGGGACTGCCCCTCCCCGGAGAAGGCCAGCGGGTTTGCCGCCGCCTGCGTGGAGAGCTGCGAGGCGGACGCCGAGTGCTCCGGGGTGAAGAAGTGCTGCCCCAACGGCTGCGGGCACACGTGCCAGCTGCCCAGGACTCTCTACAAAGGTGAGGTGGTCAGAGATGCGACGAGCGCCGGGAAGCGCGGACCTGTGGGAGAACGTGCCCAGCGTCACGGAGACATGGGAAAACACGCGGGCTCACACTGTGGGGCGGTGAGTGGTTCACGGGAACGCTTATCCATGTTTCCACTGAAGTGCGGTTCATTTGCAAGATTAGTTTCTGGGGTACGACCTTGTGACGCAATATAAAAATACTGAGTATAATCGTAATAGAATGTAATACATACAATAAAAAGTATAATACAAGTATAATATATTTAATATAATACATATATATCAAATATATTTTAATATAATACATATATTAAATATAATAATTATAAATACAATATAATAAAAATATAATAAATATATTTTA